CCCCCCCACACCAATGTTGTAAAGCTCGTTTTGGACATGACAACTTGTACTTCTCATTGTTGCAACAGGTGTGCTTTTTGTTTTTAATCTTCATTGCATATACGTTAGGAAACATAGACACAATGTTATTTGACTAAAAGAACATGAGGTTTGCAAATAGATTGAGTAGGGAAAACCAATAAGATTTACTGTGGGGATTTTTCTTGGCCCCTATGTGCAGCATTCCTTTCTTTTATGGGATAAGAACACTTCTGAAATAAGGGTTTTCTGATCTGTCAGACAAGATAGGTCAGAGTATTACTTTATGTCTGGCTCCAAGACCCAGGGAGGTAAGAGAATATTCGAAGTTTCTGTGACCTGCCTTAAGGAAGACAAGTTACAACTTTTCCTTGAAGAGAAAGTTATGAGCCAGGACCACAGATGAAAAGTAGCAAAAAATATCTTACCACTGACAGTACAGAAGAAATGGTTATGATTACTTTCCCAGTAATTTTTTTTTGCTGGGGGGGGGTCGTGGGGCCTGAACTCTGGGTCTGGGCGCTGTCCCTCAGCTCTTCAGCTCAAGCCTAGCCCTCTACCACTTGAGCCACAGCGCCACTTCCGGCTTTTTCTTTTTTCTTGTGCTGAGGAATCGAACCCAGTGCCTCAGGCATGCAAGGCAAGCACCCTACCACTGAGCCACCTTCCCAGCCCCTCCCAGTAATTTTTTGGGGGGGAGGCAGGCGGGGAGTTGTAGTCCTGGGACTTCAACTCAGGTCCTAGGCACTATCTGTGAGCTTTTGTGCTCAAGGCTAGTACTCTACCACTTGAGCCACAGCTCCAATTCTGGATATATTTTGGTTCAGATGCTCATGACTTTCCCTGCCTGGACTGGCATTGAGAAGCAATATGCAGATCTCAGCCCCCTGAGGGTAACTAGGGTTACAGGTGTGAGGTACCAGCACCCAGCTCAATAAAATACTTATTTACAAAAGCTGTTTGAGAGGCTGTTTGAATGTTGTTTGACAGCATTCAGGCCCATGACTGACCAAAAAAAACAAAAGCTGTTTTGACTACTGACTTGCTAACTCACCTTAAATCATAAATATTTAAGTTTGGGTTTTACTTTTTTTTTTGGCCAGTCCTGGGGCTTTGGGCGTGGGTACTGTCCCTGAGCTTCTTTTGCTCAAGCATTCTACCTCTTGAGCCTTAGTGCCACTTTCAGCTTTTTCTGTGTATGTGGTATGGAGGAATCAAACCCAACGTTCCGTGCATGCTACAGTTCTTATTAATGATATGTTGGTATTTATACAGCACACATATTAAGCTCATGTAAGAAATTAATTTAGGGCTGGGAAGTTGGCTCAGTGGTAGAGCGCTTGCCTTGCATGCATGAGGCCCTGGGTTCGATTCCTCAGCACCACATAAGCAAAAA